GAGTTCGAGAAGGACGCGGCGTACGTCAAGGCCTAAGTTAGTAAACGGACCTAGTGTAGTGTCCCACATAGAAATATATACCACCGTGTTGTTGTCGTCTGCTGCTTTGGAGCCTTGGAATCGTCGTGCAGTTATCGCGCGCACAAGATCCGTCTGGTCGATGCCAGCGCCGTCTTGTGGTGGGACAGACGGAGGTGGTACGGGGGCTAGGAAGTGACGTGGAATTTGACCAAACGGACTGGGAGCTGTGAAACTCCGCATTCTGACAATCATAAACAGCCGTTCGTATGTTGGGCAGATGGTCCACACGTGAGCTCTGAGTCTCCGAGTGGACTGTCTGATTGCGATATAAAATAGGCGTAAGATCATATCGAAGGCGTGTATTTGTGGCCGTGAGATGTGATTGTGTGGGCAAAACCGTAGGGACGCTGTAGTTGTTGATTGTTTAGACGTTTGATAGTAGTTGGAAGTGACTGCCAATGTACTTGTCAGGCGGGGTATTACGGGGTTACTTCTATGGGTTTATTTTCTACGTGGTCTATCGTCAAGCTACTTGATCGACCAGCAGCGTTCGCGGTCATGAGCCAGACCCGTGTTGCGGAGTTCCACTTGGATGCGACCGAGAGCCGACTTGGAGCTGCAGCACCCGAAGGTACACGGATGGCTTAATAGAACACGCGGGCTGAAGGAAGTCGCTGGTTGGCGACCGACGCGAAATATCGTGTGGTCTGCTGTTGATGTAGATTGAATGCTTGTGATGAAGGCTCGTGGTGCCGACTCTGGTCGAGTTGTTTAGTTTTGGCGTCTTGGTCGGTCGTCGTGCATGAAAGTTTTTCCGTTTTGGCGCTGGGCTTGTTGACTTGTTTTCGTTCTGAAGGCGTGGAGCTGGGCGGTTGGCTGGATGCATTTGTTTTCATTTTGGCGGCGTGGCGCGATGGATTCGGTTTCTTTGTTTGGGTCGATGTCTCGGGTTTCGGGGTCGGATGATATGGATCTTGCTGCTGAAGGTCGATGGCTGATGGCGTTGGCGGCGGCGGCTGGCTGATTTGTGCTCTTTGCTCGTGCTCATGTTGGTTCTGTGTTGGATCTGATGTTGCTTGTGTCCCCCTGACCGTTGTTTTTGCTGCTGGCTGGAGCATGTCGTCATCTTCCCCGGATACGTCGTCTTGTACAGCGTGGCGATGAGTTCCTCATCGCTCAGCGCCGCTTGATCTGATGGCGCGGCTCGCAGCAGGCGAAGGCGTCGACTGACGAGGCCTCCTTCTGCCGCGGCCTGAATGACTGACGGCCACTCGGTTGGTCTCGCTTGCGGAACGGCTGGAAAAACGCAGAATTGACTGCCAATGTACTAGCCGGCATGTGTATGGCAATGGTAACGACGCCGTACGATTAGCCATTGTGATACCATGCATGTCTTGCTCAACGACACACGCATGCGATGCGCTACGTGGTCGGCCAGGCTCGCCTCGGCGCGCCCGTCATCTACATAGATCCTGCGATCGTGCTCACGGTCGGCCGGATCCGGCAACTCGCCGCGTGGCGTGTACGGACAACATCCAAGTCTCGTATCTCCGAGGCACTGGCCAGTCATTTGATACCTTCACCCGCCTCGTTTGAGCCTGCACTGACGACGGCTATGCGTCCGACGACCGCCGCATGGCTCCAATGCTTGGCTCTCGCTGCCGCCTGCCGAGGCCAGAGGTTGCCACTCGGTCCAGACGCAGCGCTGGGGCGACCTCATTGGCGCAGCGCTGCTCAGATTACCGGTATATGCTAACTTAGACCACCTTCCTTCACAGTTTGTCTACAGGAATGAACTTTGATAATTGACGATTGGGTCACCGCGGCTCGGCTGAAAAGTGATCGACTCTGGCTCCATTTCTTCGAGCCGGGGTCAAGCCGATCCGAGCCGATATAGGCCGAATAAACCGATTGTGCAGCGGCTCTAACCATTTTCGTCGTATGATTGATCATCGAACGCACTTGTCCAACAACATCGCTATCATTGCCAAGTTCCTGGACTCGAGGGTTGCTCACGCCGTGGGTGATGACGACTTTCGCACCGACTGGTTGATGGTGATGCGGCAGCCGCGTTACGTGTCCGCTGTCCCAAGCGTTATCGATGTCACAGAAAACGACGAGACCAACGACGGAGTCGACGCCAGCAATATTTTTGGCCGGGTCGAGTTGGCTGGCATTGCTGACAACGAGCTCCCGCTCTACGCCCTCGTACCTCACATCTCGAAGTGGTGGTCGAAGTACAAGGCCGAGAATCCGGTCATGTACAAGATGGCGATGGACTACCTCGCGATTCCAGCCACGTCCGTGCCTTTCGAAAGAGCCAACTCAGCTGCTAAGCGCGTTCTCGAAGGTCGTGAGTGCCTAGGCGACGACATGTTCAATCGACAAGCCGACTCTAGCCGATTTATTTGAGGTCGGCTCACGCTTGAGACTTAGAGCCGGCTCGAAGCCGAGCCGAGCCATGGCGACCTCGAATTGTCAACTCACCGCTGTTCGAGTGGCTGCTCGGGTACGGAGGAGAAGGACATTGCGTTCGTCGTTCGCTGTCTGGATTAGTACACCGGTAGACGCTGTAACAGCCACAAAGCATCTGAAAACATATGGAAACGACGACGCCATACGAAACCGCCAGCGCTCTCGGTAGTTATGCAACCGGCGCACGCCAGTCACCGGCTTGGTGACCCATTCGACCATCCGTTTGAGGTTGTCGGGTATGGCACCGCGACGCGCTAATTCAGCCTCAGTACACTGGTAAAGGGAATGATAAGCGTGCTTTGCTGTGCCGCACAATAAACACGGTCATTCCGGTACGCACACTGCGCATAGCCTGTGCGTTTGTTGGATGAGCTGTTAGGAGGCACTACAATGTAGTACCGTTTCGTATCGAAGCAATACTCGGGCGGTGGCACGCTGTGACCAAGAACTCAGCGCCATCATACAGGCGTCGTAGGGACAGCATGTTTCGTACACTCCATCTCCGTCGTACTGCGAGAAACAGCACTTGCCAAGTCCAGGTCGCCGGTGGTACACGGAGCGCTTTAGAAGATTCCACAGAACAGTCTTTGCACCACGTCGACTCTGGGGGTACCAGTTGAAAAAAGCTTGACACACATGCCCCAGGTACTGCGTCAATGGCACGAACAATGCCGCCGCTGTAGGAGCTTCTGCTCGTAATCAACCGACACAATCAAGCCAACATGTTGATCGACTGCCGACATGTTGGGCGCCAAGCAGCACAGCACTCCTTCGGCAGGAGTTCACACGTTGCGCTGGAATCATCCTCATGCATAGGAACACCGCCATACGAAATCAGTACAATCCGTTAGTATTCCAACGGGTGCACGGCTCGGCGACTGTCCGTTGCAATGGCGCAGAGGGTTGGGCGCACGCCTCGTGCGGCACCCCGGTACCATTCCAACCTTGACCACGGCTTTGCGTCTTGGGGCCGCAAATGTCAATGGGCCCGAAGTGCTAGAAGAAACAACCACAGATAGACTTTTTGAGGGGATCTTTCAACTCGACCTGTTGACAACTTTTTCGATCCTCCATGAGAAGTCAATGCCCACAGGCACGAAAAACAACGCGCGTCGCTAGGACTCATCCAACTGAATGTATTTCAAACCACGAGAAAGGTCGTGGGTACGATCGGTCGAGCGAGCCATGAGTTGTGTGTACAGTACTAGTACTGTGTAAAACGATTACACGTACTCGAACGTACTCGATGACAAGGTTACTCGTTTTGCTCATTTGTGATTCGTCTCCAATGTACCACCGCCTCCGACTGGCTTTTGTGCCGCTTGTCGCTCTTGCACTGGATCAAAACGACCCGACGCTGCCGACCAAGTCGGGCGTCAAGACGTGGGTCGACGTCGAGACGCCGGCCGAGTTTTACACGATGGCGAGCTCCCGAGGCGACGACTGGGACTTGGTCATGAGCGACGAGTTCAACTTGGCCGGGCGCAACTTTACCGCCGGGCAGGATCATCTCTGGGTCGCCCTCGACATTCCCGACGGCGTCAACAGTGCCGTGGGCACTTACATGCCCGAGAATGCGCTCACGGTCAATGGCACGTTTCAGATCCGCGTCGATTCGGCCGAGACGAGCATCTTGTACTACAATGTGTGGTCGGATGCACCGTCGTGGACAACAAAAAAGATGGTACATATTTTCTTCTGTAATGGCTCGATTTCTTACCACGTTCTGCGTCACGATACTAGTACTACAACGCGGCCATGGTTCAAACCTGGAACAAGTTTTGCATCCAAGGCGGGTTTGTCGAGATCGCTGCCAAGATGCCCGGCGCGACCCATGTGTCGATGAACCCCCACGTGACAGGGAAGCGCTGGGACCACCAGCTGCAACGCGATGTGCCCGTCAAGCCGCTCGACCGCATTCCCGACATTCGGTTCTACCCAACATGGCCAGGTCTCTGGATGATGGGCAACCTCGGTCGTGCTTTGTTTGCAGCGTCGACCAACCGTGTCTGGCCGTGGTCGTACAACGAGTGCGACGAACGCTACCGCACGTTCCAGCGCATCAGCGCCTGCGACCCGAACCCCGGCTACGGCTTGCACCCGAACATGGGTCGCGGGTCCCCCGAGATCGACATTCTCGAAGGCGGCGGCAGTGACATTTCGTCGTCACTGCAGTTAGCACCGGGGTTGCCCGACGAGTACCGTCTCGTCGAGGCCACCATGCAGTACGAGGCAACGACGAACGTCGACTCAAAAGGTATGCGAATTGTGTGCACATATAGAACGAAATCATTACGGACCGACAGGCCGACACGGTGTGGGCTACACGGCGTGCTACTACAACAAGAACTGCTTGACGCCCGGTGCCAACAT